GAGCATTTCCCAGGCAGGTGTGGTTTCAAATTGCGATGCAGGAAGTACTGAGAGCCTGATAGGGCTATAAACGGTGTCAAACCAGTGGCCATGCGTGTTTTTCTACGCATATCGAATCATTGAGCTCATTACGTTCCTGATATGCCAAAATAGCATATGTATTTATCTATCTTTTTCTATAGTAATATACATTGTAGTAATCGCTATAATGAATTTTTATCTCAAGTTCTGTCGATAGCTACGCCTTGGAGCAAACGTTAGAATTCATCAAATCTGTGATGTCTAGTGGCGATGGTGCTGTATGTGCGGTAAGTGTTACGAAGAGAATAATATACCTACTACCTTATGCAAGTTTCTAAATAGTTTGCGTTGATCTTTCCCACTAGTAGATTTTTTACAAAAAAAAAGGATAAAGCTGATCAATCCCTGAGGGGTGCGCCATGCATTCAACTTCAAATTCTAACTTCGTTTGAGGTGATTGAATGCATATCTGGCCTTTACAATGACTCGCGGTGGCCTTCCGCTGAACCGAGTCAGTGCTGCTTATCCTCCCAGACAAGTCTGAGACCAGTGTGGTAGCAATTTACCGACCCCGGAGGGATGGATGGCTTGGTGAGCCATGAGCGCGAGATCGAACCATTGACCTCGTGTGCGACGCAAGGCACCTCTAACCACTGCGCCACATGCGCTCGTTTTTTACATTATTCTCCAATTATTTCACCAATTATAAGTGGAAATATGGAGTGACAAGCATCATTTTGTCGTGTATGAAGTAATAATTCGAATGACCAATTTACTCTAAACCTCAGCATTGACAGCTGCTCAGTTGAAATCTTACGAATTGCCTTTGCTGAACTAACTAACACTAGGCTGTTACTAGATGTCCTTGAAATCTAAGGCTGATGGTGGCTGACGTTTCTGTGACTTTACCTTCTTTGCGACCTGAACTATTTTATGTTATTGTATCCATGTATTTCGATAAATTACCCATAATATCAATGGAGCTCTGTTGTTTGAATGAATACTATTTTGCTCGAACTTTCATCGAGAAAAAATTAAGATGATAGCGAGCACAAGTCAAATGTGATAGTGAGGCTTTCGTCTTTTCTAATTATTTTTGGTTTAAGTTCACCAAAATGCTTTCAACAATTTCTCCCCATAATATTTCTGAGTTTTCCTCCAAATTAATCCCTGCAACTTCAAAATTATCACCGTTGCCCTCGTTGTTATGTCATATGCGTACGTAGAGGAGTGTTGTCGAATTTTGAGTTCATCTTCTAGATACTCCTTTATTTATTTATTTGTTTACAGACTCGTCAACAAAAATCTTTTCTATTGTGCGGATCCCAGTACTTCTAGCATTCGATTTGTTTATCGCTTTTTTCTTGAATAAGATAGAATAGAGGCCGAGCATGTCTGTTTGCAATCTCGAGGACAGCCTGGCTGTGGCGTTCCATAGGGCTTTCTTGTCGACAGCCGGGTGCTGGGATGGAGTTCGGCCTTAAGCGTCGTTGCGACGAGCATCACAACCACTTGGCCACGGCGCCCCCAGATGTTCCTATATGCGAAATCAAGGTAAAGCTACCAATTTCGCCTATGTATGCCGTACATGATATCAAGTACATTGCTCCTGAACTCATGCAACAATCACCGCCTTCGCTTTGATGGAGGACACGCAATTTGACGTTACGTAAACTGTCATAGAGATAGAGTGGTGTGCAAAAACGTTGCGTCAGCCGGGAATCGAACCCAGTTCTTACACTTTTAATGTAACATCATAACCCCGCATTAGGCAGTCAAATAAAATGATTTCTGATTAATTATTGAAACCCAATATCTGTCAACATAAGTAGATTCAATGTCGATAATGACTGCCCCACCACTCCGTAGACGGTTGAATGTTGACAGGCAGCGCGTTGTAGCGTAGAAAGAGTGGAGTGCAAAACGAGCGTCGGTGGTGCAACGGTTCAGTACATGCTCCCGGAAAGAGTAAGATCTGAGTTCGAATCCCAGCTGACGCAAACGCTTTTGCACACCACTCTGCATCATTGGATTTAATGTAACATCAAAAACACCGCAATAGGCGGTCAAATAGAATGATTTCCCATCAATCATAGAGACAGTCACGGACTGTTTGACGGCGCATGGTGTCAGGGGTGTTAAATCTACACTTCATTTCGGGCACCTCTCAGTGGCGTTATCTGTTCCGTTAGATATAAAATGTAGCTTCAAATAGATCTCACTCAGGTTCGCGAATTTGTGATGGAGTGTGATCTTACCGTTATATCCAATCCAAGTGGTTGCTGATTCGTAGCCATTGTAGATGGCTATTTTTCATGCCATATTTAACAAATTTTTTTCTGGCATCTTCTTCTGTCCGCACATTTCTAGCCATTCGCTGCATGTGCTTGATAAGTGCTTTTTTCATATGTTAAAACGAGAAAAGAGGTAGTGTATCATTGTGTTCCTGATATTTGATATTTAATGTCATTTTTTGAAAGAGGCACTTTCCGAAGGTTAACTTGGGCGTTCAAAAGTGGAATCCAGTTTTCGCTAAACATCTCTCATTAGTTTCATATCGTCTGACTATTTAAAACCTCTAAGCATTGTCCATCTCTTCTTGTGTGGTACAGATGATGAAGCATCCTCTATTTAACGGCCTAGAGAGTATGATTTGGCGGTCGGGATAGCTTCTACCTTGGACACAGAGGAGATGGAAAGGTGTGGGTGCAATCTCTGTCAAATGGCTAACTCTCCAATCTGTGCGAAATGTCTTCCAGACCACCGAAAGATTGAACATTCAAGGCAGTCTTTCAAAAAGCCGTCAGCTGGCGATTAGCTAAGCTCTGCGCATTTATTTTCTCGTCGTTTTGTATGAGCAACTCGATAATCACTTTTATCGCGGAGTCATCCGTATGTTAGAAATTGTTAAGCAGTTATTGTACTAGATGTATAGCGCTTCCAAATAGTGTGTAATCATTTTTGATTGAGTCCAATTTTTTCTCCCAATTAATCCTTAACAGCAATTTTGCTATGAGACAAATACATGAGGTTTGAATGAACCTCAAAATTAATCGCGTTATAATGTTAAACTAGACAGGTTAGGCAACGAACGACGGAGAGGGAGATTGCCACAACTTCTTTTCTCCGCGAACTTTCTCTATTAAAATGCAACTAAACAGTGAGACTGACTCGATGTTTGATTTATGTCTGGATGAAATTCTAGTTGATTTGATGTTTGGTTTGTATTCACATGAAGTTCTGAACACTTAATCACTTTCATCACGAAGAAAATCAAGCATTCAAGGACCAGGTGCTACAAAACGTAGTACCGCGCACGACTTAGCGTGTCACTTACCTACTACAATTGGCGGTGTCGCATCTTCAGCGAGATTTATTGACACACACCGCAATGGAATTGAGGGAATTATTAGGTAAACTGAGGTTGCAATATCATTGAAAATGCCTTTATAAGGATAATCTTGGGAGAAAGAATCGTCCATATGTCGGAATATTCCTTATCTCTCAAAGAGAAAACCACATCACCATGAAGGAACATATTTTTAACTAATATGTAACAATCGTTTCTTGTCTTAGTCGATATTCTTGTAATCGCTCGGTAGCATAAAAAATGCCGAAATGAAACCAAAACTTGGATTGTAAAACGACCTTCACGTTAGGTACTTCTAGCCGGGAAACCCAAAAAAAAGGTTAACCCTCTGCATCTCATCGACTGTTCCTAAACCTCGCTTCAAACCTTCATTCAGTTTAAGAGAATGATTAGTTCCTTTTCGAGGTTGGTACATCAGAGCCTTACGTACGTTTCGGCAGAATCGTCCGTTTCCATCAGTGCCCCACGACCCACATTGAGCCCTGCTTTATAGCAGAAATGGGAGGACGTTATTTATGGTGATAGCACGTGATATGGTGTTATCAGTACTTTTTTAGTCGATGGATTACGACTGGTAGCGTGATATAGATAGGGCTCAGTGTGTGGCGTGGACCGCTGATGAAATGGCGATATCGGCGAATCGTACGTATGGCTCTTACGTAGCACACGTCGTAAAAGCTCTAAACATCTCACAATATATAACGTTTTGCTTTAGGAGTGCGTTGTCTCAACTTTACAGCGGTTTTTTGGTAACAGATAGTGGAATTTTAAAATATATGGGGATTCTTTCGCTAAAAAAAGAATTTTGTCAAAGGAACATCGCAGACATATTTTGGGAAAGGAACGCACATGTAATCTAAAAATCTCTACTTTTTATTACAAAATGTGTTGAATGCAATCGCATTCTATAAATGTACCCGTGTTTCCTTAGCTTTCAGAAATTATCTTCTTCACTGGAAATGGTAATGATTCGAAAGTTTGAGTAATGGAGATTCTGAAAGTTTTTCGCTTTGTTTGAGAAAATCTACACAGTGCTCTCTACCAAAAAAGCATAACGTTTTGTTTTCGGAAAACTCTGTTTTAACTTCGCAGCTGATTTTTTTGGTATTTGAAAAAAATTTGATTCTGGGCGGACATCATCGCCATAAAAAATAGATTATTATTGGATAACTTTCATAAACGTATTGCTAGGAGAAAGAACGTTCAGCTGTCATAGAGATCCCACATTTCTCCGCAGTTAGGAAAACAACGCATTTTGTCTAGTCATAAAGAGTGATGTGCAAAAACCTTTGCGTTATGTGGAATTCGAACCCAATTTCACCCTATCCGGGGGCGCGTGCTCAACCGTTGCACTACCGACGCCCGATTTGACACCACTCTTTCGACACTAAAAAGTGTCTATCTGTCAACGGCCACCCGTCCATGGTCTGACGTGGGTAGTCGCTATCGACATTGAACTCTTTTACATGTATGCAATATACAGTGATGTTGCAATATCTTATAGCGTAAAAGGGTTTAAAGTCGATAGTGACTAACCACGCGAAACCGTGGACGGTTGGCTGCTGACAGATGGACGTGTTGTAGCATAGGAAGAGTGGTGTCAAAACTGATGTCGGTAGTACAACGGTTGAGCACGCGCCTCTGGGTAGGGTGAAATGTGGGTTTGAATCCCAGCTGACGCAGAAGTTTTTGCACATCACTCTTCATCAGTGGGTATATTTCGATATCATACCACCGCTATAAGCGGTCAAGTAAACACAGTTATGTTTGATTAGCAGTTTTTCATTCACGCTCAATGGAAATGAATATCCTTCAATGCCCGAGCTATGTCTGTCCAGGTTGAGTAGTCAATATGATGTACGACCTAACTCCAGAGTTGAGCTAGAGGAAGCGGGCAGCCTAGAGAGCGTTTATGGGCATCAAGGATGTAGCGAAAAGAACAATTAACATCCGACTCCGTGTCTACCTTTTCGACTCTAATAATTATCTCTGACGTAACGTATGCCTTAGAAGCTGGTAGCTGCGTAAAAAGGATGAAAGATCACTTGGTGTTATTTCAACGCGTAATCGAAGGATCGACACTGGGAGTTTTCCCGTGCCTCGCAAACGAGGGAAAGGATCCGAAGTTCTGACCTACGTCAACTATCAAAGTCAAGGATGCCGTTCTACATGGTAGACTATCGAACTTATAGTGGACTGTAAAAGTAATGCATTTGAACAGTCGCAGCGAGGAACCCGATGGTTCGATTTTTCATAAAAGCTTGGAAGAGGTATATGGCGCTCAACGATTTCCTAGAGCGAGGAGGACCCACTGGGCCATTGTTGTACGCCATGGGAGAAAATGGAAGTTTCATTGGTGTCCGTTAAAGTCACTCGACGATCAACGTGACAACATGCGATACAGGTGATGGGGGAGTGAGGCAGACAAGGGTACCGCTTCAATAATCACAACATCAAAGCGCCAAAACTTCTGAGCTCTTCTAGATTACCTCAAAAAATCTAAGGATGATTAGAAATGACGAATGCCTCGCTATCACACTTGCAACTTTTCTCAGATTTTTACCTTAACTGAGTAAGTTTCACTAACTAATTTACTTGAATACGTTACCGGTGGTCTTACACGTTGCAAAACGGCTAGTAATTTTTGATATTTACTATAGTCTTTCCTAATACAGTAGTTAGCTCACTGAGTTTTGTTACTGAAATTACAATGTTTCAGTTTCCTATACTGCCTATTCTTTTTCCATTGTATACGTTGTAAAATAGAACTACAAGGATGTTGAGAAACGTGCAATAGATGGCTTTGAACATGTTGACAAATAGTCGCCCATAGCACCAACAGAGATTGAAGCATGGCCGAGGGAAAGGCGAAGCAAGGGCCTTGGTTGGTGTGTTGGAAAGCGCGTGAAATGCCGGAAGTGGTTTGAGGGATGAAGTTATGAATTATGCAAAAATGCACAAAAAGTCCAGGTTTTGAAGAAGGTGAAGCCGTCGAAACGTTGGTCACTAAGTTCCAAAACACCTAATAATGGCTTAAGTCAGATTGACAATGACAGTACGTAGATCTAAATTTGGTTGGAGTTAATACTATGATTTATCTGTTCATTATTGTTTGAGAAGAAACAGGTCATGACATGGCTTGAATAATAATAAAGAGATCTATTTAGATTCAAGCGTGGGTCTTAATAAAACACTCAAAATAAAAGTATGCTATGATTTTTCTGCAGAACAAAAAAGATTTCGGAAACACAGTGATTATCTTGGTTCTGAATTAGGAAGATCCGATATCAGTTCCATGATAGATATACGAGGTTTTGCCACTTTTAGGACGGTTCATCGGCGTCCTATCATCGCCAGCCAATAGCTGCGGTTGTTGGTGCGGCCGGCAGTCAAGTGTCGGTCATGGTGGCTAGTATGCTGCAGCTTTTCAAGGTAATGCTCAAGACTAGCCATATCTAGCTAACAAAATCTTCATGAATTTTATCTGTGAAGCGCTTGGAGGCGTCGCATATCAGTGTTTTCATTCAATATCTTCCAGGAACGACCGTCTGCTGCTGCTTTTTTTCTTAGAGAATCTCGATTTTCTACCTCGATTTCGTTTGTTCCAGAATGTTTGTCCATCCGCTCTTCAGATTCCTCAAGTGAGCTACTCCTCCACTGGCGCCGAACTAAGCGAAAAGCCGCGATTCTATTACTTTCTCGTGTCGTACCTCCTGACAACCTCTCAGGCGCAGGTGATGGCGAGAGTGGTGAGTTTTAACATCAATTTTTGGTACCCTTCTCTTATTAGCACCCATTTTCTACCCTTTAGGAACCACGCATTTTTTTGCCTCTTCAAAGAGTCTTAGCAGTCATTCGATAGATTGAGTTTCGACAATTTTAATGCTGTATCTTTTTTTGAAGAAGTGCGGTGCAGCAGTAAAGATAAAGTTATACTATAAGAAGATTTTCCTTCGTTTTGTGGAAATTCCTAGGTTTTTTGTCATATTAGTGTAGAAGGGAACTTTTTCTATCGCTTTATAAGCGTAGGTTTTTCATTTTCATTTTTATTTCCCAAGTTAGTCCTCTAGTAATAAGCCTATCAGCCTAAGCTTATGCACGAAAAGCATACGGCGGGTATGAAAAATCTGAAGTATCATAGTGCTATTTTTTTATTTAGAGTTTTTTCAGAGCGATGAAAGAACTACAAATTCAATAACAAGAATTGCACGCCACCATGAATCGCGCTGCACGGTGAGTCAAAGGCGCGATAGATACAAAGCCGCTCACACACCGTAGCCAACAAGAAATGCGCGTCGAGTGCAAAACCCGATTTTCTTTTGGCTCTACAGCGCACTCAAAAGAAACACTTGGTTAGGAAGAAAAGGCACTGTGTAACTGACAAAACTTCTAGTTATCAAGGCTGAAACACGTGTAATGCATTGTATAAGTACCCCTAACAGACCACATGTATGGCTCAAAAATAATTATCAGACACTTGAAAGACCTCTACCGAAAATCAAGCACATCATTTAAATATTTGAGATTCAAGCATCAAAGGATTACCAAAAATCTAGGGGATAAGCTCCGTGCAGCAAAACAGTCTCGAGTGCGATACACAATTTTATTGTTAATGCTACAGCCCAAGCCATTTCAGACATAAAGTACAACATGAAATTATCAAAATCTAAACTATCGAATGGCTTACTAGAATTCTAACATGAACTGCAATGTTCTCAAAGGGTAAAAAATGGGGTACGCATTAAGGAAAGTACTCATTTTTTTCGATAAATATCCTATTCCTGATTTCTTAGTAATAGTTCTGTTTGCGAAGACTACGGCAGTTACCTACTAATAATTTCGGTTGTCGCTTTACCTACTATTCCGTATAACTCTGCTAGACCGATATCCGTTTTGCTTAATCTGTAACATCAGTTCAAAAGGTTCTAGAAATGTAGAGGACACAAAGGAAAACCTGAATGAAGCGTTGTGAATAGAGTTTATTGAAAGATTGATTGAAATTGTAATAGTCTTCCTTATTTCTTCCAAGCAAAAAAGTAATTTAAGAAGTCTTTTGTTGCTCATCTCCGTACTAAATGGAACCGGCAATGATTTTTGAAGTTTCTTGTTCTTTCAATGTGTTCATGAATGAAGCTCGTACCCATATGAAAGCTGAAACCTAGTCTCCACAAATGGACTTCAGCAACAAACATTTTGCATTGAAATACGATTCTACACTTATTAATTAGGCCCCATATTTGAATCGCTAAGTAATTTGTACGTTAATTTTTTTATTCGACCCGTCATCACATTTTGCTGTGTGTTCTCAGCACTTCTTAAATCCGATTCGTTCCCTCGCATTCATCATCAGCAAAGCTCATGAAATATCTCAAGGTTACTTCAGGTACTGCTGGAGAATTTTGTTTTCTTTGAAATGTCGTAAAATTCTAGGAGAAGATTCTCCCTCCAATAGAGCCGAGCCATGCTGATCTTTAAGGCGTTCATTGATTGAGTGCAAGGGTATTGGAAAGGGGATCGAACCAGCGCCGTGTTTCCTGAAGCATCACATCATACACTGCTGTACCCCCTCCTGTAGATTGCTTAATGTGCAGAACAGATTAATCGCATTTGAGTCCATAGTTATCAAATGTTTGAAGAATGTATGGCGACGTTTTTGTGAGGTTGTGAGTGCACTTGGATTGGTGCGAGCCTTCCCCCTTATTCGAATATCAGATATTCCAAATACCTTCATACAGTGCTTGTTTATAATCTCACTTTTGTATAGCTCATCGGCGTTTCCACAGTCTCTCAATGTCTAGCAAAAGGTAGAGAAAAAATTCAATATGTATTAAAGTGGGGAAATTCTCTCTAGTTTTGTTTGACATACTGATGAGCAGAGATTAATTTTGAAATCTGCATTGTTCCAGTTTTGTCAAAATTTCGCCCGCCGTCTGATCTCCGACAAGGTGTTTCAGAAAATGTTTTTGACATTCTCAGTTTTTATTTCAGGTTCGAGATCTAGACTGGACATATGTGCACGCTATAGCTGATACGGGATCATACGGTACGATTTGATTGTATATCGTTGCAAACTAAATCCTAAAGAATTTCCATTTCTTATTTGCCTTTACGCTCTTTCACTTTCTTTTTTCATTATATTGTTCTACTTCCTCAATCCATTTCTCGGTCGTCTTTTTCATTTTTCAAATATGTTTTTAAAAACTAACAAGTTCAAAATTTTAGTAAACGCTCACACCTCTTTTTCGATTTATTTTACGTTTAAAATAAATTTTCTAATATTTACTTTTATTTGAGTATTTTAACGGTCCTCTTTCATTATCAGGAAGTACTGTGCGCGTACTGACAATCTGTGAGCTGCTAATTGACTGAGCTTCCCTCACCTGATACATCTTGCTAGCACTTTTCCACGTGTCACTCATTTATCAGGTGGTATATGTGTTGCTGCTATGATTGCAGTAATTCGTACCTTCAATTTCCTCTGAGCTAAGCTTCCAAATGTTGATGTCTGGCTCTTCGACTTGAGCGAATTTGTTGTACGACGCTGAGCAATGAACTCCTAACAATACATCCTAAATCAAAACCCTAGACACCTCAGCCACAATGAGATGTTGAGTCATGTACGCTTTCCTCATTCTAATTATTCACTTCATTTCTAGGTTTTTCTTTGATTTATCTACTTTTT